GGTAGTGCTAGAAATGTTGAATGCTAGCTATGAGCGCCTAAGTTGCAACACTGGCTGTATGCTACCCAGGAAGTTGAGAAAAATATTGGCTGGTTGAGTCCCTATAACCACGAATTATAATTGGTGAACCGCTTTGAGACAACCTACTAACTAGATTGTGATAAAGCGGTATATAAGAACCTTGAATTATTATTTTTTATTGTTATACTATTGTGGTGTACAAATATGATTTGCAAATCATAAGCAAACTTACTTGCTACATATATCAGAATAATAATAACCGATCCCATATTTACATAAAAATCGAAAAAAAAACCGATACGTGTTTTAACTTACATTTCCGTAGGCAGGGCGGAATAAGATGATTGACACAAAGGTGTTGGATATTCTTTGATCTGCAGTGTTTGCACGATAGTAGCCTTTGGTATACTAAACCAAAAAAGGTTATGATTTGTTGCAAGATTACTAGTTCAAAATACTGACGTCATCAATATTATATTGTGTTTCACTGACATTATGGTCAGCAAGAGGGTAAGCGGCGCATTATAAAAAAACAAATTTATAGCATCAAGGAATTTCGATAACATGCATATCAATTCATATGATATTTCCTTGGACAATGATATAACAATTCTCGAACTGGGATATGTTACAATTTTCAATTATTACGTCATAATATATACATTTGTCATTAACAACTCTCGGTCTTTGATTGCAAATATACACCTGCTGTCACCACGGTATGTTGCAAGAGGCAACCAATAAGCGAATCAATAGAAGAATCGAGAATTTGCTTTTTGTCTTCTGCCTGGGGACATAAAAGCGACTAAATAAATATGCGGTAACATTGCAGCATTTCGGATCTTTATGTTTTGTCTCTACGTCCTAACAATGCTATGCTGTTGGAGCGTCCTACCTAAAACAATACCTCACATTTGTACTTAGTGTCGAGCGTTTGCACAGTGTATGTATTTATTTATTATTACTTTCTAGAAAGCCCTCAACTGAAACTCAACTGGGTCAAGTTGATGGTCAGGACGGTCGTCGTTGCCGTACAGAACAATCTAATGAAAATTATATCTTCTCGTCGCTCCCGTTTACTGCTATGTCACGAGATGTGAATATGTAATTTTAATAAGATTGCGTTCAGAATGAACAATCACTTTTGCATTTTTTTAATCAAAGTGTTCTAAATTAATTTACTGGTAAGTACACAGATGTACCCACTCTTCAAAGCAACGTGCTAACTCAAATGTTCTCTTTTTCTTAACAGGCTAAGACATTGCGTTATTTTGTGAATTACATAAAGCTGCTCGTGAACCCACCTCGTTTTGCTTGTCGGTTCTCAGTGACATACTATTTATATAGTTTATATACTAAAAGGAATATTAATGATTTGTGCATTATAAATAATTAATATTTTGTATACAAAGACTTCCAGGAACTGTGATACTAAAACTTAAGGTGAAGCAGTTCTAAAGAAGTCATCAGAAAAACTGGAAATCTATTACATTATATCGCAGTTTAATACAAATAATGAGTTCCTTGATATACAATATACATATCAGTAAACCAACATAATTGGTGCAGATCATTTTCTTTTCATATTTTCTTTAGATAAACAAAATAATTCCAATTTCTAAGAATGATTTATTTCAATTCACGGCTATTTGGTGAAACATATAATTTTTATTGTTTTCAGGAATACTTTTGCATTTATTGCTGTAAAATGTTTTGAAGATATTCATTCCAATTCAATTTAATAAAAATTGTAAACTCCATTTCTGAGATTTCTATATATATCCATTTCTGAATATATACTATGTACAATCACTGGCTTCATGTGAAAATTTCATAAACGAATATGTTAAAAAAACATTATTTCAAATTATACATTTTTTTTTGTAACTTACGTCTCCTAATAAATGTCAGATGTCGGAATTTTCTGCACTATGCACATCCCCTGATGAAGACGCCTCTTTCTGCTGTGGTGGACAACACTTGGACAGAACTTTTATACCCGATTGATTGATACCGAGTCATGATTTGTTAAAATATTCACCACGTGATTTCGACGAAACCTGCACGAGGCTATATAGAAATGTCACCTAGATAAAGACAAAACTAGAACACGAATATATGTCGGACTCGCTGATATGTCGTAAGCGGATAACATAGCAGTATGGTGCAGTATAATTGTTTGTTTACCTTTCTGCATCGACAAACCAAATTGACAAATTGGTAAGAACAGTACTGTTACTATTTCGAAAATAATCAACGTTCTAAACCTATCTAAACATTAAAATATATTCCAATAGCACCGAACGATATTTGAAGGTAAAGGGTAACACGCATCCGTTACAATCGCGAAGAAGAGTGCCACTGAGAGTGTACTTTAATTGCAGTAATATCCCTTATATGTGAATAATATGAAACAAATCACAGTTTTTCTGACTTAAGAGTCAAATTCCCATGTAAAAGTTTCTTTTTCACGTCAGCATCCATAGTATGTAGGCTTTGCAATGGCAAGGTTATGAGCTCCTGCATTTTTTTTCTTTATTTCTATTTCATTTTTGAAACATTCACATTTTGAAAACTACATTTTGTAAAATGCATGGTAACATCCAATTTTTCATGGTATATTTCTATTGAAAGGGACTTAAAGAATTTTCTAACAATATTGACTTACCAATAAGGCAAAACATCATGGAGTAGCGATGCTACCATAGCTGGTTTAATAAGACACAAACATCCACAATAAATTGCTATGAAGTAGGCATATTGTGATATTCATTTTAAAAATAATAATTTTGCCTTGAAAATATTCCTACCGTATAGTTGAGAATAGCTTTACCCTCTGGCAAACAGTATATTTTTGAAATGGTATCATGAATGAAAATTTAGCTAAACAGGAATGTTGGAGAGTACTATAACCATCACATTTCAAAGATTATGTCACCAATATTTCTTTGCCATAATGAAGCTGTAACAGCTGTTCTTTTCTAGAGGAGCCATTGTGTGTTCGCCATGTTCAAACTATTCTGTATTTGTATCCCCTCCTTATTTTGGTAAATAACAACATGGTTCAACTAAATCAGTTTTTGATAACCCATTGGAAGCTGTCTTCGAGATTTCATAAAATCATTGACAATGTGGTGAAACTTCGACTCTTTAAGCCTGTTTGCAAGGTTAGTCACGACATCCCGGTTGCTAGAAATCTGATGAAAGTCCAATTTGCTAGTAAGGAGTTAAAGATGTCATAAACATCAGTATTATCCTTCGCCACAATTTCATCGAAGCTAACATACGAACGTATACTAGACTTTAAACATGTTTGTATTACACCGCCAAGCCCAAGAGCTACAAATTCAATCGATCGACGGTCACCTGTATGTACATGTAAAGATTTGGTTATTTACTGAAAATATTCCTTGCACCATAAACACTTTGTTTAAAAAAATCAGATTTGATTATATTTTCTGTCATATTTCCCAAGTTTATGTTTTATAACGTATGTATGTATAGTTTGGTTTCTGTATTTACATCCCATTAACAATGGCTATTTAAGGTCGTGTCAGGGGTTGTTAGTTGAGGAAAACCGGAGTTCCTGTAGAAACACCGCCGACCGGTCAGTTACCTTTGCTCGGTTACACAATACTGACAACCATTATTGAAAGCTAACACTATGACCGTTCGTGTTAATGAATAGGTTGTCATGCACATTGTCAGAGTTACACAATAAGTGTCGTTTGGTTGTTTTAGGTCACGGTTGCATTACTCCATGTACTCAACTTGTAACAATAGAAAAGTTATACTGTTCCTGAAATTTCCGATTCTTACGTTTCTATTCACTATAAGATATTGTGGTTCATAATAGCAATTTCAAATGTTACTTTTTCTGTTTTGCGATAATCGCGGATTTCAGATAAATTTGCCTTATCAAAAGTGTCGAAAATTGACAATTGACATACAAAATCGCGATTGTGTTTTTATAACGATGAAAAAATGACACCTTCCAACTAAAACATGTTTTTCAGGTGCTATGTTTCTCGTCAATGTTGAAATGTGAATATGTACGGATGTGATTGAATTTGGTAATTATATCAATGTATAAATTATCGTTCATTATCATTAAAATACATCTCATGTCATTCAAAATGTGTGTTTGCTTGTATAGAGTTTAACGGTCTCGCAACAGCTAAGGTGATATGAAGACTTGTCCCTGGGGTGATACTACCGAACAGGTAAACTAGGGTATTGAGAGAAATATACTATAACCAGATTTAATCGGAGTGTTGCAACGAGCAACGGGGATAGCAGATGAGGTTAGTTTTCCTCAACGTCACCAAGGTAGAAGAAAAAGTAGAAAACCCCCTGCAGAAAGTTATTTACCTCTTCAGAAAACATGCAGCGGGCTACCCCAGGGATGGTCCTGAAAATATGTCTGCATATATCATGTAAGCATATGTGCACAAATTGTATTCAATTATTCATTAGTAATTAGTTAAATCGTGCGTTAAATTTTTATCTAGCATATTCAAAAAGTTATCTAATTGTATATTAATATTATTTCGTATACTTATTTCACACTCAATGAGTAAAGATTTTATGAAATGTCCAATGCACAGATCCACTCGCTTTTGTAACATTATGCAAATATTTTTGTATGGTCAACCAACATGCTTAATGTCATTTTAAATGATTCTGCTGTTTTTTAAGTGTGTCAACTGATATATTATTTTTTAATGCTCTGCAAATAGCATTGCCTTTTTTAAACAAACAAACACTGGCTATTTTGTAATATCGTACGTTCGTGTGAACCAACACCAAATGAAGGATGATTAAAAGCAACATACCGGGTGTCCTTCTGTATAGTGCAGAATCATGGAAGACAACAGATACTTCTCGATGCTTTCGCAGAATTTTGCGCATCTCCTTGCCACAGACCATCTCAAATGAGGAGTTGTATCAGATAACAGCCACCATTCCTCTTTCAAAAGATGCCAAGCAAAGGAGAAGGAGTTGGATGGGACATGTCTCCAGGATGCACCAAGATTCCATCCCTATGGTAGCAATAAGATGGACACCACCAGGAAAAAGAAAGAGAGGAAGAAAAAAGGAAACCTGAAGACGGTCTATTGAGAAATAAATAAAAGAAAAAGACTAGACAGGCGGCCAAATACGCAAGTGGTTCCCAAAACAGACATAAATTGAATCTCTGGTGATGGTCTTATGTGCAACACAGCACGAAGAGGTCTAACTTATATTCGTGTGAAAAAACTGAGGTATTGATAGGAGACGCACAATATGGGTATAATGACATGTGTATCACAGTACTAATTAATTTCTCTACGTGTCGAGCAAAAGTATGTTTATTTGATTTGATGGTTACCACAACTAGTATGATAGACTTGATAAACAAACTATAAATAAAAATCTCGACACAGTATTTGCTCGTTATCAGAATATTGTGATACGGCTGGGGTCAAATAGGTATCCTTAGGGACACGTCAGTAATAAAATCATATGGTCCTAATATGGATAAGCCACACTTTTGCGAACAAAAAATAGATGCTTTTAATGATAATAACAATGAATATTACATTGTATGTGGTGAGTTTAATATGGTCTGAATCCTGATTAAGACTACGATCAAAATTAAAAATAAATGAATAATCCTTAAGCTATGGATAATATAATCGAACTGATGGGAGAATTTGATTTGATAGACATTTGAAAGAACAGTACTATGAAAAAAAGAAGGTAAAGATTCAGAAAAGATTAATCCTATTAAACACTCCCGTCTTGATTTCTTTTAAGTATATCAGACAATCTCTGTTTCATATTTCATTTCGTAGTTTGTGTATGGTTTGGTTTGTGTGTGCTTTACAACCCATTAAAAGCTATGGTCATTTAAGAACGAGCCGGGTTTTGGAAAAAAAAACGTAGTGCGCCGCAGTATTTCTCAAATGCTTTATTTTCTCTAGGCCCTGTACAAAATGTCCTTTTCGTTAACAGCTGATATGAATATCTTTTAGTACATGTACACTCATATTGTAAAACCCACTCCTGATGGACATGCCTCTTTCTTCAGTGATATATAGACTATATACACTAGATTAAGTTATTCTTTGTTTACCTATTTACCACTTGACTTTGATATGCATATAAATACGTCAAACGCATAAGATATAATTGTCATGTAAATACAGATAAATTCAATTCGGCGAAATTCACATGAGTTTATATAGAAATGTTAGATAAAAAGTTGGTCTTGATATCATATATGTTCAAGGTTACCTTATACCTTGACATTATTCTGACACGATTGAACAGAAATACTAACTAAGCAATAAATAATGGTCTGTAGTGAACAGTTGTCAATTTGTAACTTTATAAAAGTTATGATGTGCACTACTCCCATTTAGCAGTACTCTGCATATGTTCGAGAACACCTTAGATATTTAATACCGCCGATATATCGTAAGTGGATAACATGGCAGTATGGTACAGTATACTGTTTTGTTAAGCTTTTTTATAATAAGTTTATCTTCAATACACAGCACACTTATATATGAAAAATTAACTGTCACTATTTCAAAAACTAACGAGTCATAAATCACAATGTTATATAAAACTATCTAAACATCTAAATATATTCTTAAGGCGTCGAACGATGTTTTAAGGTAATGGGTATCATTGCATGATTGCGAAGATTGTTTCGACTTGTAGTAATCTCCCTTTAAAGGTGTAGAGTAACTTCCACATGCAAAAGTTTTTATAATATGCCTTGTGGTCCTTAAATTTGACATATATTTTCACTTTCGTAATTCCTGTTAGCCATATTTTTTCCATTTTTTTATTTATACTTTTCAAAAATTCAAATTTTTAAAAACTACAATTTTGTTAAATGGTTGACAACATGCATTTTACATGGAAAACTTCTATTTAAAAGGTTTTCAACAATTTTAACTACAGTGATTTATTCACAAGATAACAAAAATCTTTCAAGACAGATAATTAGGAATTAGCGATGATATCATAATTAGTTGATGAAATTTATTAAAAAGACACCAACATTTACAATAAGTTTGAATGATTTTAAGCATATTGTGATATTTGTTTTCAAACTTATCCTATTGCATTGAAATTAATCTTACTTCGTAATCAGCTAAACCCTCCGGCAAACAGATATATTTTAGAAACGGTGTCATTGATATTGCTAAGCAGAAATTTTGGAGAGTACTATTACGCACAATATAGGTATTATTATTACACTACTGATGACATTATTTACGTCTTAAGAAAAAAAAAGTGCTTTCATGATCTGATGGTTACCGCAAATCATTTGATAGATTTGATAGAGTTATGTCACATAGAAAAATACTTAGATTGACTGGCACGTCTCATTAGAGTTGCACATAGGCAAAACCATGTTATGGCTGCAGACAAAGGGAGCAATCTTGATACGCCCCAGCGCGTCAGTTCTGAATGATGATGTTTGGGCTAAGATACTCTCGCCATCTATAACCAGATTTTGAACAAAACCTGGCCGTATTTATTAGACTGTTTGACCGTCATTTCGTTCATGAATAGCAACTTAGTGTACATACACTTATAGCGATACAGAATCTTCTTGTCGATTTCACTGTAATCTGGTACATATAAAACACATTTACTGAAGTAGAAAATTGTATTTTGTTCCCACATTTGTAATTTTTTTCTCTGTTCATTCTGTTTAGCATATGACCATAGGTTGATCAAGTCGAACGAGTAGCGGAACACACAGAGCCAGAACACCTATACATCCGATCGTTTCTGCAGATTCTCTATCGTCCCCCTCACTGATGAGTTTCCTCTTGGAAATACTAGTTTCTTTCTTTTTCCACTGTCAGTTCCTTTGCCAAATCTTTTATCAATTGCACCAGTTCCTCCTTTGTCTAGTTCGTAGTGTATGATGAAACGCCACAGACACACGGACAGGTAGGTGTCGCTGTGGTCGTGTTGCCGCCTGGCAACGCTGTTAATGGTTCAGTCGATGTTAATACTGCTGACGGTATAGCTGCAGTTTTCGATGTTGTTGGTGTTGGCACTGGTGCTGTTATTTTCCATATTGTTACATCTCGTGTAGTTTTTGAAGTCGTTGCGGGTATTGTTAATGATGCCGATGTTGTCTTTGTTATTGATGATGCCGATGGTGATGTTGTCCGAGCTCTTTCCTCTGTCTCAGTTGTCGTAGTTTTAGTTCGTGTTGTCGCTGATACTGCCGATGTTGTCTTCAGCTGTTACTTCACAAAAGTTCATATCTCCTCCGCCGAGCGATTCCATGTAAATCTGGACAAATTGTCCGAAAACTGGCGTCTGACAGATGAAAGTCCTGGTTTCCCCTTTACCATACGTTCTGACACATGGATACACAGACATTCATCGGTCATGTGATCATCGTCCTCAAACGTGCTGTTAAGTGACACAAATATGTCGAAGTCACGCAGTTTTCCTGTAGTTACAAATAACATATCATTTTAATGTCAATTATAGGCGTCGATTAAATAACATTGTCTCATGATAAAATGTTGGTATATAAAACTGGTGGCCATTGTATCTTCTTTATCCATTAAGAAATTATAATACAACGTCAGTCTCATTGATGACTGGTGTTGCTTTAAACGCCTCCAAAATACCAATCTAACGTGGTAATCGTTTTAGTAACGATCAACGGTTCACGGCACCATTAAAGCAATCGTGTTTTGTATTTGTGGAAAGAAAACTTCGACAGTTCACTGCATTTTACAGTACATAGATATACAATTAATACAATTAGCATATACATAAATCAATACAATTTTTGAGGGATTCGCAGGAGCTGCCTTATCAAACGCTAACTACTGGTACTATGTCACCTGTTTAATATCTCCCTATGTGAATATGCCTGCGTGTGTGTTGAAGATATAATGTGTTCTGTTTGTAGTGGGACCGTGCTTCCAACGGCATTATTTATAGTGTCACCTCACTTGAATGCTACAGCACAGATACCGCAACAACCACCCCAGACCAATTTATACTCCACCTGGCTTGTTGGAGTTGTGTGAACAGGAGAAAAACACTTTCTCTGAATATCCATGCTTACGACGACATCGGGGATCGAACCCCGGCCGTCTGCGTCGGAAACCAGATTGTTAACCACTCGACCAATCCGCCCATAAATGATATATAAACAAAATGACTACACTTTAAAGTGAAGAAATCATCGAAAAATTAATCTCACTTGCCTTCATCTCTTGAAACTCCATTTTAACAATTGTTAAAATGTCATTACAATAGATTAAGATTTTCGTCATTTGAAATACCCTGACCAAGACGATTTGTGACGCTGGCGCTGTCGATTCTGTATTATCTTTCCAGATCAATCATCCACCATTGGTATAATGGTAAACCTAAGTTATTTGAACTTCATTTGGCAAAAATAGAGAAATGAAAGAACGACAATCAGATGACGACTTCAATGAACTGTGCCGGGTCTATGATAAAAGGGTATACATGTAACGTAATAGTCATTGGACTTACCGAAACTTTAACGGTTTGTGATGTTGACGCTGTCAATTCTCTATTCTCTTTCCAGACCACCCATCCAACATTTGCATACTGGTAGACTTGTCTCCCACCCTGCGTGCAAACATGAACCAGAAAAGAAATTTGAATTTCTGTTACCGTCAACTGCCTTCGATGCTGTGCCTGATGGATACGTGCTGATCTGTTGTGCGTGTTTATTCAGTGCATCGTTCTCAGCATGGCTTGACGTAGGATCCACAGAGCAATTTTTTGAAAGTCCTGTACAGCAATAGATTGATTACATTATGTAAAAATACTACACCAGTAGATTTGCATTGTGTATGGCATGAACCAACTATCATTTTTGCACGGTAAAAATATTGCTTAAAGCTGACAGTGCAAGTTAAAAAGCTTTCAATTGAGAAGTTTTTAAAAGTTTTTTTTTCTTGTTTTGAGATCTTCCCCATCTCCTTCGACTATCGTTTCTAAGGAAAATCCGACATTTTAGTTTGTCCTTGCTTGGTAACGAGTACAGATCTCGCTGGTAATAAAAAGCGCATCACCTGTCAAACCGGTTATAATTCTACAACTGA